CCAGAACCTGCCATCCTCTGAGCGGTAGATGCTGTAGTTGTAGGAAGCCTAACAGCAAATATTGGATTAGCTGTTTAGGAGAAAAGCTGTTTGATTGTTCCACCTCCTGGCTCCTAACCAGCCCTACCATGCAGCTTCCAGTATACTAGGGGTCTCTGAGTTTTCCTGGCTGCTTTAAAGTCATAGTTATGAAATACAGTTTTTTTAAAAGGTGAATCGCAAAGAAAAAAAGGAGAAGGAAGGGTATTGTGTTCTCTTTTCCTTCTGTGTGATGTCACAATATAAAGAAGACCTGTAGCAATTTTATTTCTGCTTGTTGTCTTACATGAGAAATGTGGGTCTTTTCTACTCTGGAAGACTCCATGGATGTTCAGAGAACTGATAGGATTATAACATGATATAAAACAAGGAAGTAAAATATGATTGAGAAACAAAGTGATTTTTAGTCAAACTGTTAAAAGTGTTTTGAATTTGTTTTCGGTAACAGCTATTTAATTTCAATGCCCAATAAACATTTGGGAGAAAAGGCATCTTTGTTCAGGATTCAGGCACCCTTTCTCTACAATTAAGGGCCATAAAAGCTCCCAGTCCATATTATCCAAGAAATCACTTCAACAAAACAGGAAAGAGCAGACTTGCCATTTCCTGATACTTCTAAGATAAAATGAAAAAAAAAAAAGGTTAATTTTTTCCCTTTGCTGGTCACCTTTGAGATAAATCCAGAACTACTTTGACTATCACTTTTAACCAATAGGATTTGCACTATACAGATTAACTAGGCACTTGAATGAGGCAGACATCACATGGGGGGAAATAATTTATGATCATGTAAGTAAAGTGTGTGTGATAATACATATGCACAAAGTTGCACAGGCAACCTTAAATTGGGCATTTCCTAACTTTTGAAGGTTTCATGTTGCAATATCAATCATGTTCTTTTGAAATATTTTTGTATGTATATAGAATATGCTGTAATTACTTTCTCTGTGTATTTGGAAACAACACACTGGAGCCTTACTATCCTGGAGACTCACTATCATAATACATGGCATCAAATCCTACTGAATGGGACAGCCACTGATCTCTGCAGAACACAAGGTAATGCAGGGTTTAATTTCAGCAGCCATTTCTCACTGCTGATCCCCAGCTATGGGCAGTGACTCTAGACTTGTGGTCATGTGGCTGTGCTGTTACCTGGGTGGAGCTGCCACTTGCATGGCGAGATCTTCTTCCTGTACTTCCTCCAAGTCCGGGATCACTGGAATATCTGCAACAGGAAGAGGCAGAAGCAGCATGAAGACAACGGAATACTGAGCTTTCCTCCCACTTGGGAGAGAGAGAAGTCAGAAATCCCACCCTCCCATGCTACATGGGGTGTGAATGCATTCACAGCCCTCATGACAGGAAAACAATGGTAGGTTATTTGCAATGATTAAAAAAGCATATAGTTTAATAATAAAACAAGCCAATAAAGCTCTGAAACCTGGAAGCAAGATAAATCCAAAGAGGGAAGCAAATTTGTGCTGCATTAGGACTTGCTCAACGGTCATGGATTCTCCATTTGGAATAACCTTGAACCTTATGAGGTTTGAGTTCTTGCTGGCTGCTGCAAGCCTCAAACACGGACCTGCTGCATGCTTGCCATCATCCCATAAGCAGGGCAAGAATTCCCTTCACACAAGAATCACTATTTGTCCAGCTCAGGTTCACATTTTATTAGAGATGAAAAATATCAGATTTCCCTCAGAAAACTGTCATTTAAATTAAGGGTGAAAATGTTTAATGAAGCCCCAAATGCCAAAAATAAAGACGTTTCACAGTGGATTCCCCCTCCCAAGGGGCAAAATTCTCTGGATGTGTCTCATGCTGCAGCTGCAAATCTCGTTCTGATCCCTGGAGCTTGACTTCTCTGGCATTTGTCCCCTTCTCTCTCTCAGAAGCAATTAACCCTTCATCTGTAACCACTTTCAGGCTCTTCCCTGGGTTTCTCTGTCCTTCTTTTGAGCATTTCCAGTACTCTCTCTCCCCAGATCCCATCTCCCATTGAAGTCTGGGCTCAGGGTGTTTGCAAAGGAGACTGGTCAGCATGTTGGATGTAGTCTCTCTATTTCATCAGGAGGGGCTCCCACGCCCAGCGAGGGCAAGGACATAACAGCAAAGCACAGGTGGACAAGGTTTTGTTTGATTGTAGCCCAGGATGCCAGTGACTATGGTGCATCCTGCTGCAGGCCCAGCCATGAGATGCACCCCACAATCAGGTAAAGAGATGCGCTCAGCCCAAAATAATTTGAACAGAGGGCAAAGCATACCAGAGTTGCTAGATGCCTAGCCACAGTAGTTAGTTAAGGGCTGTTAGTATGTTCAGCCCTGTACTAGACCCTCCCTGCTCCCAGGAGCCCAGAATCCAGACAAGAGAGCTTGAGGTATGAACCTCACTGAAGTGCTCCAGCACTGACCACACCTAGACTGCACTGCTGGAGGTGAAATGGGGAAGGGGCCAAAAGAGAGAATGTCAGGTTGAACAACATAGAAAACTTCCTGTTGCAGATAGTCTACTGCAGTGTTCACCTAGCTTTATATAAACTCAGGTAAGAAATAATCCCAAGGTGACCTGGCAGACACAGTGAGTTGGAACCTATTTATGATTTTGAATGTGAGTCTGCTGAAGCTAGCCTATCCTATGGGTCTGTCTCCAGCCCACTCCCTGGACTAGGGTCACAGCTACTCCAGCTGGGGGGGAAGGGAAAGGAGAAAGGAAGAGGGACAGAGAAGGGGTGCCGAAAAGCCTGGGTGCAAACAAATGCTCCTTAGAGAAGGTGAGCTGCCTTTCTCTGAGGCATATTCCTGGGGATATAAGGAGTGAGCAGGTGGGGGAAGGTGGGTATAGGAGCAAAACATGTTCTCCCATTGATTTCGCATGTCTTCACCAGACCTGCTAAATTGACACTTGCTGCATCGATTGCAGCAGTGTCGATCTACCAGTAAGTGTAGACATGCAGTGAGTGTCCATTTAGCGGGTCTGGTGAATTCACGCTAAATCGACGGGAGAGCACTCTCCCATCAATTTCTGTACTCCACCTCCCTGAGAAGCATAAGGGAAGTCGATGGGAGAACATCTCCCGTCAACACAGCGCAGTGTAGCCACCGCCAAAGGGGATCTAACTACATCGACTTCAGTTATGTTATTCATGTAACTGAAGTTGCATAATTAGATCGATTTACCGCGGTAGTGTAGAGCAGGCTTTAGGGCATGGCTACACTTGCAGATGTAGAGCGTTTTGAGTTAAACCCGCCTTCGGAGAGCGCAGTAGGGAAAGTGCTGCAGTCTGTCCACACTGACAGGAACAAGTGCTCTGGTGTGGCCACATTTGCGGCACTTGCAGCGGCATTGAGAGCAGTGCGTTAATGGCAGCTATCCCACAGAGCACCTCTTCCCATTCTGGTGCTGTGGCTTGTGGGAAGGGGGTGGAGGTGCGGGGCATTCTGGGTCCTGTCCCAATGCATCGGTTTGCATCCCAGCAATCCCTGTGCTTCCGTCCACATTTGGCGCCATTTTTCAATGTTTTTTGTACAGTGCACTCTGTCTCCCCTCTCAGTCTGTGGGAACGGAGCCCAAATTGCTGAGGAGTATGCTGATGAGTCTCGGCAGCACGTCACATTTGGCAGTTGAATTATTCCCTATGATCCATAGTGACAGTGAGGGCTCTGACGATATCGACTAGAGTAACGCATACAACGCGAGTTTGCTTGTGGCATTCATGGACATGCTTACCACCGTGGAACGCCGCTTTTGGGCTCAGGAAACAAGCACTGAGTGATGGGATTACATCGTCATGCAAGTCTGGGATGACGAGCAGCGGCTGCAGAACTTTCGGATGAGAAAAGCCACTTTCATGGGACTGTGTGAGGCGCTCGCCCCCACCCTGCGGCACAAGGACACGAGATTGAGAGCTGCCCTGACGGTGGAGAAGTGGGTGGCTATTGCAATCTGGAAGCTGGCAACTCCAGACAGCTACTGATCGGTCGCTAACCAGTTTGGAGTGGGGAAGTCGACCGTTGGAATTGTGTTGATGCAAGTTTGTAGGGCCATTAATCGCATCCTGCTTAGAAGAACCGTGACTCTGGGTAACGTGCATGACGTTGTAGATGGCTTTCCACAAATGGGTTTCCCTAACTGCGGAGGGGCAATGGATGGCACACATATTCCAATTCTGGCACCAGCCCACCTAGCCTCCAAGTTAATCGGAAGGTGTATTTCTCTATGGTTCTCCAGACGCTTGTGGATCACCGTGGGTGCTTCGTTGACATTAACGCAGGCTGGCCTGGAAAGGTGCATGACGCACGCATCTTTTGGAACACTGGCCTGTTCAGGAAGCTGCAAGCCGGGATTTTTTTCCCAGACCAGAAGCCACAAGCCCACAGATCACCGTAGGGGAAGTCGAAATGCCCATCGTGATCCTTGGAGACCCCGCTTAGCCTTTAATGCAGTGGCTCATGAAACCCTACACAGGGAGCCTTGACAGCAGCAAGGAGCGGTTCAACAACAGGCTGAGCCGGTGCAGAATGACTGTAGAGTGTGCTTTTGGCCGTTTAAAGGGCTGCTGGCACTCTCTGTATGGGAAGCTGGACCTGGCCGATGATAGCATCCCCATGGTATTATCCGCATGCTGTACCCTCCATAACATTTGTGAAGGGAAGGGTGAACGATTCACTCAGGCATGGAACTCGGAGGTTCAACACCTGGAGGCTGAATTTGAACAACCAGAGAGCAGGGCTATTAGAGGGGCCCAGCGCAGGGCTGTAAGGATTAGGGATGCCTTGAGGGAACAATTTGAGACTGAAAGCCACCAGTAATGTCTGGTGCCCTGCACGGGAGTGAAGTGCAGTGGTTCCAAAGTTAGTAGGAATCTGTTTTTGCTACGCTGACTTGCAGTGCCTGTTTCTTTCCTGGGCTAAGCTATCTTTTACTTTATGCAATAATAAAGAATGTGTTCAAAGCCAATAAATCCATTTATTGAAAAGAAATACAACTGCTTGGAAAACAGAAAGGGCAAGAGGGTGGGGTCGGGAACAGTACAATCACAGATTTGCGTATGTCCTGTTATACTCAGCCTTCCTGTCTGGAGTTCTGTGCAATGAGTGCTGCACTTCAGGATGGCTATACTGCATGGTGATCGGGGGTTGAGTGCAGAGGGTAAGGGTTGTAGTTTTCAGGGCTGGGTGGTGAAGCTATAGGTGCTGGAGGCAGCTGGTGGTGGTAAGAACCTGGATGTTGGGGAAAGTGGGTTGGAGGTGACATGGGGGCACGAGGGAAAGAGTTTTGGGACAAGGGCTGCGGGCGCGGTAGTGCTCTGCCTGCATGGCTATGAGCGCCTGGATTGAGTCCGCTTGGTGCACCATTATGCTTATCAGCTGATCCGTACTTTGCTGCCGGAGCACCACACTTTTGTGCCAGCACTTCTCATTCTGCTGGCGGATCCTCCTTTCACTGTCCCGCCACTCCTGCACTTTTTGATTTTCATTACTTGAATGCTGCATTACTTCATGCAACATGTCTTCCTTGCTTCTACGTGGCCTCTTTCTGATTCTTTGGAGTCTTTTGGCCAGTGATAACACAGACGGCTGAGATCTCAAGGTTGCATCTGTAAAGGCAAAATGCAACAGTTAACAGAGACAGCATTGTTCACACCAGACAGAGCAATCATTCCCCTGTACTTAAGGGCAAGCACAGTCTACACAATAGCATAATTTGCCCATCCCAAAACGAGTGCACTTAATCCACAGGAGCCCCAAAATGGTGAGTAAGCACAGGGTCAAGCGTGACTGATTGTTTCACTGTCCTCTGGGTTTCTGTGCCTTGGGCAGAGCCAACAGTGGCAGGGGGCCCCCATCCTGAACACTGTCTGCACATTTTCCACAGGAGTTCATCCTGGAAGATCTCTCGCTGCTGAGGGTGACCTAGGAAGCTAGGGAGAGTCTTCTACTGTAATGCGGATTCCGCCCTGGCCCATATGCCGCTTGCCTGTGTGCAGCAATGGTCCCCCCGCCCCTCACAGCACAGTGCCGTGGACAGGTTAGCCTTACTGGGACAAGGAACACAGTGGCTCTCCCGAGAAACCTGCGCAAGCGCATTGCCCAAGTTCTGGCTGAGACCTTTGAAGAGATCACTGAGGCGATTACTGCAATGTGAGAGAGCACATCAATGCCCTATTCCGCATCTAGGCATGCATGCAACCCTAACCCTCCTCACCCCAAGAGCCCACACCGAATAACTTCCTTCCTAAAATAAAAGCCGCTTACCGGGAACCTCCTCTGGTGTTTGTCCTTCCCCAAGCACCGGCTGCCATGACTGGCTACCTTCCTCCTGGCTTGAGAACAGCTCCTGGCTGCATGCATCTAGGGATACTGGGGTGTCTTCCTCCGCCTCAGAACCCTCGCTCCTGCTTTGCTCCTCCTCCTCCTCCCCCTGCCTTGTTGAACTGGGCTCTGAAGTGTCCATGGTGGTACTTGGAGTGGAGGTGGGGTCACCCCTGAGTATTGCGTCCAGCTTTTTGTAGAAATGGCAGGTCGCAGGGGCAGCACCGGAGCAGCTGTTTGCCTCGCGGGCTTTGCAGTAGGCATTCCGCAGCTCCTTCACTTTAACCCTGCACTGCAGTGCGTCCTGGTCATGGCCTCTTTCCATCATGTCCCTTGATATCTGCCCAAACGTATTGTAATTCCTATGGCTGGAGCGCAGCTGGGACTGGACAGCTTCCTCCCTGATGACACTGATGAGGTCCAGCACCTCGCTATTGCTCCATACCGGGGATCGCCTGGCGCATGGAGGCATGGTCACCTGGAAAGATTCGCTGAGAGCACTCCACCCCTTGCTGAGCAAACAGGAAGGGGATTTTCAAAATTCCCAGAGAATTTAAAGGGCGGGTCTGACAGTTGGTCACCTGAGGCAGGGGAGTAGAGTTCAAAGTGATTACCAGAGTGGCTAGAACAGGCATTGTGGGACACTTCTGGAGGCCGCTCAGAGCGCACTATAGGACCAGGGCGTCCACACTGGCGCCACGGCACTCCAGAGGGGGCGCAGCAAACGTTATTCCACTCGCCGAGGTGGAGTACCAGCAATGCTGTAGCCGCGGAGTCAGAGCGCTCTACGTGCCTTGCCAGTGTGGACAGGTAGTGAGCTAGTGTGCCTGGGGCTCCTTTATTGCGCTGTAATTCGCAAGTGTAGCCAAGCCCTTAGTGTAGTGTCCCTTTAAAGGCCTATGGTTTGCTAGAAGACTGCTCCAGGGGCCCCTGTCCCTGGAGCTGGGGAGCTGAATGGCTCCGCTCTCTGGAGATTCTTCACCCAGTTGGCATCTGAATGAAGCAGGCATGCCAGGGGCTTGAGCAATCAGGCTGCTCCTGGCTCCATCTGTAGCACTGCTGCTATAGTGTTGGAATGCAGCAGTTGGCTATTTCTAGCTCTACCCTTTTTGCAGCCCAGGCTGAGATGAATATTCAGGAGCTGGAGAGACAGCCCCACCTGAAGAGTTTGGGGCTCAAGACCGGGCCTTCTTGAGCAGCTTCCTCCTCCTGCCTCCTGTCAGTGCTGTGCAGCCTCCCACAGCTCCAAATGGCACTGCTCCTGCCTCATGTCCACTCCGCATCGCTACAGGCTCCCCCAGCTCCCCTTCCCCGGCCAGAGGAGACAGCGCTGGCCCATCTGCAGCAGAGTCTGGGTCAGCCCAGGCCTTGGCGAGATGGCTGTTTGGAGCTAGCCACACAGTGGGATTTCTCTCTAATTGGCTGCCTGCTGAAAGGGCTGAGGAGGATGGAGGCTGCAGCGAGAGGCAGTGACAGCTTGGATGATCTCAGCAGAGCCGTGCCATCCAGCTCCCCAACCACCCAACAAATAGGTGCCTATGGAACAGCTTTCTGGCTGCAGCAAACTTCATAAAGACCTTTGCAGGGAAACTGTAGCAACTTGGCCTGATCCATCCCTGAGACAGAGGAAGGCAAAGGCTGGCAATTCCATAGCACTGAGTCACTGCGCCATTTGACAATGGCCTGTTACTGTTCTGCTCGCTGCGGAGCCCTGACCGCTCTCACAGCGGAAGCTGCCATTGCACTGATTCTTCCCAGCAGGGGCTCCCAGCTGCTGGCAAAGTGCAATGAAGGGACAAAAGAACAAAAGCGATTCAGCTGACGGAGTGACTGATTTAGAGGGAGAGATTATAAGAGCTGAATATGTAGGGCTCAGCCCAGTGATAGCTATGGGGGGCAGAGTCATTGTGGATAAGGGGCAAAGAGTAAGGAAGAGACAAATTGTGTAGGCTGGTTTGCGGGGATTAGCTTACAAGTAAAGAGATGAAGCTGAGCACAGAAAAGAAGTTTTGTTGAATCACAGGCAAAATGGACTAAGGGGACATCTCTAACTGCCCATCAGAAAATGTGAGATTCCCATGGCTACAGTCATTTAAAAGCAGGACTTGGCAAGACCCTGGAGAGTGACTGTAGGGATTAGGGAACATTCCTGCATGGGCAGAAGCAAGGGGATGGCCATACTAGATGAAACCTGGGGGGTCTTTTGGGTCTCTAATTTCTCGGATTGTCTGAAGTGCTGCTCAGCAGTTCAGTGGTTAAGGGGAGCTGGAGGCTTTCAAAGATGTTTGAAAGTTAGCCTATTCTTTGCTAGAGACATTTGCGAAGATACACACAAATCTATGGGTAGAGACTGGAACTGGATGTTACACTGATGAAAAATGTTCCCCTGTTAATAGAAATTAATGTAAAACTAACGGGGAGCATTTCTACACTCCTCTACTGAGCAGCACTCTTGGTGTCACATGCAGAAAGGATCCAGTTCTGCAAGGAGTTGAGTGTCCTCATTCCTCTTTGACTCCAATGGATTTGAGGGTGTTTGAACCCCTGCAGGATCCCTCCCTCTATCAGCTAACCAACAGCCTAGCTTCCCCATTCATTATTTATTTTGATTCCTTCTCCGGTTGGGTCTTGCTCTCTTGGATTCCTTTGGGCTTTGTTGCTCCCTTTTTCTTGCAGATGGGCCACAAATGTCAGACCCAGCTCAATGATGGATCTTTCACCCTGCAGGATCCTAGAGTTTTACAAACTGGATATCCTGCTGCTAGACTTGCTGACACAGGGCCAAATCCAGCTTCCAATGAATTCCATGGAAAGACTCCCACAGGCTGCAACTGGAGTGGAATGAACCCTTACCGAGCATTGCAGCCACACAGCATTCTCAAAAAAATAGGCTACGGAAAGCCAGTGAATTTACCAGGTAGAAACTCTCTCTCTCTCAAGGAATTCAAGGCTCTAACACCACGTAGGTACTTTGAGAGAATCGTAGACAGTAGAATTTAGACATAAATGGAAGTGCTCTATTAGTTTCCCACCAGCCCATCCTATGGTGGCCAATGCAGTATTGTTCCCTATTGTATGCCATGTAGAGTCATGTCCAGTTTACCTTGAAATGTCCTATACTATGGGGCATCCCCAGCTCCCAGGCTAACAGATCCCACTGGCCAGATTTAAATGCTATTCAGCATAAAAAAAAATTTTAAATTTCAACCCACTACTTGTAATTTCCTCCTCTCCTGCCCCATCCCTGTTGTGCCACTCTAAATAATTCTGCTCCCTTCTTTCTGTTCACACTCTTTGCATATTTGTAAACCATCACAGCATTGCCTTTGCCATCAGTTAGCCAAGCATCTTTTTTACTCAAGCCACCCACCTTCCTGATCATTTTTGTTGCTCTTCTCAGATCTTACTACAGTTTTCCCAATATCTTTCTGGTAACACTGCTGAGAAGTTATTGCAATATTCCAGTTCCACCCCATGGCTGTGCTATGACTGCCAACACATGCTATCTTTTAGCATTCACATCACCTTCAGTGAAACTACTCACATGTTAAGTTAAGCATGTAAGTAAATCTTTGCAGGACTATGTCCTCTCTGTCTTACAATGCAGGACCCATGCGCACACAGCCAGAAACTGCACTGGCCTTATTTCAGCAGCTGCAAATCTCCCAGATAGTGTATTGCCCATATCATCCTGGTCTCTCTCAGCTATCCCTGATTCTCTGGGTCCTGCCTCCTACAGAGTGTCTATATTTCAGAGCTTTTCCACCAAATCAATTAACTTTGATTTTTCCATATGGAATCTTGTTGTAAAATTTTCTGTCTACATTATAATCTATCTGAAATCAGGGCCTTTGCATATGAGCCTCGTACATGGCTTCATAACGTCTATACACATTGAAGAGCAGCTGGGAATCGCATTCCAGCATGTGCATATGGGAATTGGGAACATCTTATCAAACACAAAAACATCATCATTGCAATGATGCCGCTGAAGGGCCTGCACATTGTAAAATGAAACAGAGAACAAAGAACGGCACCACAATCTGGAAACAAACAGATTCACAACGCATAGCTGTGTTTTAGAAGGAAGGGCAGTTTCCTGATCTCTAACATCTGCCAATTTCAATAAAATATTGCAGACAAGTCTTTGCAGCTGGGTGAAGACCACACCAGCCATGTTACAGCCCAGATAGAATTGCTCCAGCAGGGGATTTCCCTCCCCCTATAGCACACCCTTCCCTCCCAGGCCCAGAACTCAGAGCATAAAGATAATGTAAAATCAAATGCCAATTACCAACAACAAAAACAAACAAAGAATAATAATAAAATTAGGTACAAGTCATCTCTTAGCACTTGGTCTCCCAACTAGACTCTGGGCCCCTTTAGTGTAACTCATGCAGGTCCGCCCTCAACCACAGCCTCCACCAGAGTTCCTCTGGTATCAGTTTTGTGATACCATGGAGAATGTTCGACTGTACCCTGCTCTTAAAAGGAGCACTCATTCCTCCCCAGTTAAAATACACCCAGTTTTCCTTCTGGTAAAATCAGTGAAGAAAGAGGAAGAGGAGTGGAAGAGGCATACGTTGGGTAACGTTTTACAGACAGAAAACAGAAGAAATGGGTTTCTGGAAGTCAGGGAAAACAACTCAAGGCCCCCCATGCTCCCAGAGTGACCTTAAGGAAACCTAGATGGGACTCCTCTTCAGACCTCAGTTTGGTTAAAGGGGATCAAATAGTAACATAAAGCACTTTCCCTTGGCATCCTCTTCCTCAGACCATGCCAGCCTGGGCCCAGGAATCAAACAAGGCAGAGATGGAAAATAAATATTTGAGCCCCATGCTGGCCAACACAGAACTGTTTCCTGTGGTCTATTCTCCACACCTACATCTAGTCTGATTTTAAGTTTCCCAAGGAGCCAGGAGCTCTCTCTTGGAGGCAATTCAAACTAAGCTCATCAAACCCAGAACTACTGTGGCACTAGCCCCAAGTGATAGTTAACAGCTAAGTTATAATTTCCTAGACCAAATGTAGAAGTCTTGTTAATAGCTAATAAAGTGTATTATTATCTCTATGACAAGAGCATCAGAGACCCCAGGCTGGTCAGGGCTGGCAGTGGGCTAGGCACTGGTCACAAAAGAATAAGAAACAATCCAGACCCTAAAGATCATTGCATCTAAGTTATGGTGAGGCAAGTTGGTGTAAGAAAGTAGGAGTTCGGAAGGGAAGGAGGACACATGCTTACTCAGACTGGGTACTTGAATGATTAGCAGGGGAGAGTGCTTTTTAAGATATAACAAACAAGAGACACTAGTGATGGCCGTAGTCCAGGCTGGGTACCTGTGACCATCTGCCTTTCTGCCTCTTACACAGGTAACTGATCTGCAGAGGAGATAGACGGAGAGGTAGAGGCAGGAAAAGCAACTGCTAGGAGGGGTAAGAACCCACTTTACCTTACAGCCTTCACACTCCTGGCCGTTGCTTTTCCTGCTGCACCTTCCTCCTCCACATGCAAGTCACACCAGCTTGTTATTTGTATTACAGCAGCACCTAGAGGCCCCAAATGAGACCGAGGCCCCATTGTGCTAGGTGCTGTACAAACACCCAGTAAGGCAGTCCCTGCTCCAAAGAGTTTACAGGCTAAATTGACAAGACAAAGTGGATGGGGGAAAAACAAATTCAGAGAGGAGACGTGGATTGCCCAAGGCCAGACAGGTCAGGCGGAGCTGGGATTGGAAGCCCTGTCTCCTTGGTGCCAGTCCAGTGCCAACACTGATTCAGTTAAAGTACATCTTTTACAGCCACTAACCCTCCCCTTTTAATGTAGGCCCCCTAGAGCTGCACAGCCATTCTCTCTGGAATCACAACTCCAAGTGCTGAGAGTCACACTAAAAATCTCGCAATTCATGCTTAATGAGGATTTTCTCCCCCTAGTCACGTGACATTTTCAGTGGCCAGTTCAGAATGCAAGCTCCGCACAGCAGCAATGCAGGCATCTTCAGTGACCACACAATGCTATGCACACCTTTGCTACGACTGAGACTACAGAGTGAAGACTACCCAGAGTATGGCAGCTTTGGGGGCAAGCTGACCCCTTCAAAACAGGTTTGTTTATCCTCAACGCACAGAATTACAGGCTCCTCACTTAAAGAATGACAGAAACTAACTTAATTTTACATGTTATGAGCATGCAACTTAAACCAGGGATAATTATAATTTCTCTGCTGCTGCAAAACTTTATTTTACTGAATGCTTTTACCTTCTGCATCACGTTTGGGGAATTTTAAACAGGCAAATGGAAGAAGGTCTGATTGAAGATGAAGTTAAGTGAAAGAAATTGGTCTCATTTAGCACATGACAGGATTCATCTGTGTTCCCAAGTCCACCGAGGTAGCATCATGGGCGTTTCATATTCATGAGCTGCTGCGACACTGTGTCCCCTCATTTACAAAGCGCCGTGTTCAGCAAATTCCGTCCCTGTGGACGCTCCGTGCATTTCATGGTCTTGTCAGAGAGACATCAAACACTCCATTAACCAAATACCAGAAAATGGCTTTAATTAGCGCATCTCAATCTGATAAATATTTTTCCCCCTCTAAATGGAAAAAAATGGAAAATAAGAAAAAGAAAAGTGGAAAGCAACAGGCTTAAAAAAACCACAAGGAACAAGGAGCAGAGGCAGCTTCTACTGAACACAAGCTCAAAGCCTCTTGGAAGGTGAGAGCAGCAAGCAAGCAAGCAGAGTGGGCAAAGAATAGCTCTCTGGACCTCTGGCCACTCCATTTGACTGGAATGCATTCCGCAGGATCGTACCAGACCTGCTGTCAATCTGATGACTGATCAGGAGCCATACCTGTCGCCAGTGGGGAGGATGAAAGCAGAGGGCTGAAGAGAATCAGGTAGCTACCATGACTGTTGGGGTGTGGCCCTGGAAAGCTGAGAGAAGAAACTAAGGAAAAACAGTACAAGAGTCCATCTCTCTGAGAACCATGGTGAGAGTATGATGGTGGTACCACATGGGCTAGCTGCTGTGAAAAGTCACAATAATAAAGGGGCCTTCTAACCCCAAGTCATAGAAAGGTCTCAGTGGCAACCTGACACTGAAAAGCCAAATAGTAGCTTTACAGAGACAACCATATTAGTGGAGAACAAGAGCAAATGGTTTTGTTTTTTCTCAGCCTTCCAAGCTACAAAGTGATTATCAACTAGACAAAGGGCTGGATAGTAGAAGGAGTGGCCACTCAGGCTCTTGAGCCAGGAGAGCCCCGGAGAACAGCACCAGTCCCTACCTCTGTAACCAGGTTGTGGCATTTGTTTTCCCAGATGCTCACCATGGTGTGACTCGGGCAGGCTGGAATCCAGTGCAACCGCCACCTTGTGCGGTGTTGCTGCTGACATACAGTATCTTCCCAGTTTGGAATCATCATTGCAAACATCTTCCTTGGGATGGTTGAGGGAGAGGATAGAAGTGCTGCAATGATGTTGTGTTATAGGGGGCAATACGGCATTGTCCGACAAGTTACTGGACATAATACAGAGGGAGCTGGGTGAAATTATATGGCCTGTGTTATACAGGAGGTCAGACTAGAAGATGATCTAAGGATCCCTTCTGACCTTATAATCTATGCACCTATGACCTTTGGACAATCAGATTGGTCACTGGCAATAGAAGCACCAGGAACTTGGAGACCAGGATTAAGACTGTGCTACTGGAGACTGTGCTACTGTACAGCTGGCATTAGCAGGGCACTGATCTCGGAGGCTCAAACTGCCAAAGATCTCTCTCTGTGGAGGAAACATTCAGCCATGATCATCATACAGCTACCAACCTACAGACACTCCTGTCTGAACTCTGTGCCTGCTTCAGTTCCTGGAGATTTCCACTTTTCTCCTTTCAAAGGCTTCTCTCCACATCCCCGTTCATTTTTTTCCCCTTCTAAAAAGTATTAAGGCACTGGCAGGGCTACAGCCTAGAAGGGCATGAGGCACAGGGGGAGGGATGGGGGGAGTTCAGAAATACAAAACCCTCCTCAATAATGCTAGAGATGAGTGATTTTGCTTTAGAGCATTAATGTGACAGGGAAAGTGGCTTCTCAGAGCAGTCCTGTGGAAGTATGTTTGGGAGCAAGCGTATCTGATTCTATTTCATCCTCTTCATGTTACGCTGGAAAAACAAGACAAAATACATTTCTTTTATGCTAAATCCTTAGGTTTTTTTGTTTTTTCTTATATATATTTATTAAAAAAATGCCTCTTTGATCGGCAGCACCTGTGACATTTCCACATCCAGAAACTCTTCAGAAGCCTCCCTCCCTCCGCACAAGGCCACCACTGCTGACAGCCAGCTGGGTTTGATCAGAGCCATTCCGAATCGGATTTTCATAAGACAGATGAGGAGTCTTACTGCTGCTTTCTCATATCAGATGAGAAACTGAGGGGGGAGTGGGGACGGGTCCTGAGGGAACGATGCTACAATCAAGGGCTATGCAGTTCTCTCTCTGTCCCTCCACTGCTGCAATGTTCAAAGGAGTTTGCCTCGAGCGGTTTTAAATGATGGAGTCTCAATTCTGTAATCAGCTTTCAAGAGCTTTTTCTTAACGGGTCTTTTAGGTAAACCTAGTCCGTCAACTACACTTATGGACTCAGCAATCATAAACCCAATATGACTATGTATCTAACATAATACAGAATTTAGAGATGGAAGAGACTTTCCAGAACCCATTAAGTTAATCCCCAAACAGGCCAGGATTGTTCCCTAACAGCTGTATTATTCACTGCCTTGTCCAGTTTTAAATTACTCAAAACAGGGCTTTCACCATATCCCTTGGGATACACACACTCTGCTCTCCCCTTCCACTCCCACTGAAAAGATAGAGACTTCTCCAGACCAAGGCAACTCCAGGTTGTAATGTCAGCTGTCAAAGTGAGGTTAAGCTGGCCCTGACCAATCGCCCGCCTGAAGCCAGTAGCTGTTTGTGAGCCTGCCCATCACTGGCCTCACATATGCTAATGGACTCCCCCAGTCCCTGGCGGATTTTTATCTACATCACAAAACCACCACACAGAGTTTGGCCTGATGCAGAGTCCCTCTTAAACAAAAGTCCAGGGTTTGAATAGCAAAGGGCAGCAGGTCAAGACTCAGGTGCACCTACAGAGCTGTATGCCTGCACCTCCAAGAACCATCCAACTGGCAGGTGCATGGACACATGAAGTCACAGTGGGACAGACCAACATACAAGCATTATCACCACCCTCTGCCCCAGACCATCACTCCCCATTCAGCCCACTCACTCAGCTCCTCACATGCCAGGCACAGTTCTGCTCCTCTCTCCATTTCACCAATGGCAAGTGTTCTCCCCACACAGCTCCCTCCACATCTCTCCTCCTCTACCTCCTCCCTTTCCCTGGTCTTTCTCCCCACATCTTTCAGTTTCCCCCTTGCTCAGCCACTCTGACCTATGCTCAGCCATTGCAACCTTCTTCACCACCAAAATCTCCCTGGAACTTACATCACATGGGAACCTACCATCTCCTTGCCTTCCCCGCACAGATTAACTAGCCAAGAAGACAACTAGGATACTTTATCACTAATGATTGCTGGGCAACTTGGCTTGCACTGGATAACTTGGCTTGCACTGTGGTCCCAGCTTTGCTCTAAGCCACTTGTAGACCAGGTATTTTATTCAGTATTCCTTTTATTCAGAGGCTGCTCATGAGAAGAGGTTACTACTGTATTGCTGTGAAGTTCTGGCTCTAGGTAGCTACCACAAGACAGACAGATACCCAGCTCTCCAGACTCAGTGACCATGGGCCTTCCTTTTTTTCATCTTTTAATGTTCTCCCCTCCTGTTCTAATGAAGAAGAGCTGCCCGCACACACCAGAAGGGTAAGAAGCCCTTGTAAAGGCTTAACACTTTATATAGAAGTCTCATAGTTAGCATCACTTCCTAGGTGGAAGCTTCCGGGAGGGGGGAAAATGGGTGTCACTTTGATGGCACTGATTTAGTCACAGTCTTCTGGCAGCTTCTCCTGCAGGTCAGTGTGGGGTTGTCTTTGCAGCAGTCAGCCCTTCATTTCAATCAGCTTCCTTGTTCACACACACTACCTGCTCCAAAATCATATACCACCTTTTCCCACATTCAAAACCACATACACTGTCCCCTTCCTCCAGCAATGGCCCTGCTGCGCTCCTCCTGGGGAGCAGAGCTACCAGAGTGGGGCATTACTGAAGTGGGGGAGCAGCATGTGTGGGGGAGCCATGGCCAGGGGGATAGAGACAGCAGTCTCAGCCAATGAGCTGCAGCTGCATCACTGGATGAGGAGCTGAAGAGCAGAAGGGAATTCCAAGGGGTGAAGTGGGGCTGAGGGGACATTTCTGGGAAGACATTGCAGAAGGGGGCATGGCAGGGAAGGCACAAAGAGGGGACTCTCAGCTGAAGAGGTTCACCGGTTGAGGGAGGTGCCATCTCTGAAGGGAAAGGCAGGGGCATTCAGTACTCAAAAGCTGCCCAATCCAGGAGATGGCCACTTGATTGCTGCATCTGTCAGACAGATGCTGCATTGGTTGGAAAAAGTCAAGTGAACAAGTGAAATACCAGGCAGGATAAAAATAGAGCCCGTGCCAGTCCCGCAGGGGAGGGGTGCACAAGGGAAGGGGCCCCTTTCGTTGTGAATTTATTTGTAATAACCCTTTCCTCCCTTGCGTAGCCCCAGCACAGAGCAGCCGGTGTTTACAAGACAGGGCTCTGCAGATAGCTCTTTTCTAATTCCACTGACAGCCTCACATCTCATCCAGCATCACTGCTGAGCTGAGCTCAACCACTTCTGCCCATTTTCCCTGTTGACATGGACAGAAAATTGAGCAATTACCCTTAAACTCCTCTCTCTCAGATCACCCAGATTGCTACACACACAGTATTAAGCCCCCAATTGCCCCTGGCCAAAAGTGGCTCAAGTAGGCCTGTCCTTTAGGAATTAAACACTTTTTTGTTGCTCGTGAAGGTTTATTATTCCTAAGGTTGTCAATGTATTAAATCCTGTTAAAACAGGTTTCCCATTGTGCAGAGAGGCAGAGCTCTCCTACCAGAGCCCCACAAACAAGGGCTCAGGCAGACACTGCAACCCAGCAAAGGAGCAGTACCTGTTTACAGAGACCACATTTTATGTACAAATATGTGTATATGCCAGTGTGGGCTGTGCATCAGAGCATTGCACAAGAGCTCAGATAGTTCAATAGCGTGTGCTTTAGAACAGTGTTTCTCAACATTTTTGATAACAGGGATCGGCTTGCTTCCTTCCTAAACTGTGTCAGGGAGATCCCAGGGACCCGTCTGAAAAATACTGCTTTAACCCCAACACTGGTACACAGAGACACTAGTTACAGCTGGGGAGTTACTGCCACTATTCTCAGGTGACTAACTTTTTTGAAAAGTTCCCCCAATTTGGAGTTAGAGTGGGAAAATGATGCTTTTTGTCAGATACACTTTTTGGCTCTCCAACACCACAAAAAATGGCTCCTTTTTAACATGTCTCACTTGTCCTGGACTAGTTCTCAGTGAGGAAGAGAGACCTGGAAAAATGGCTGGAGAAATACAGTTTAGAGAAAATGAATTGTTAGCACAGTTCTGTATATACCCCAAAACAGAGCATCAGAGCTGCAATGTCTGACCCTTCCCTGTCTTCCACAAGCGCTCTCTCCTAGAAATGTTTCACTCTTTTCTACTGCACTGTCTGTGTGACTTGTGCTGTGGATTTCTTTATGTAACTCTAAAGAATCACTGAAGCTGGAAATGTCCATTCAGTCCATCTCCTTCCACAACTGTCTCTGGCCTCCTTCCACTCAGCCCTTTACACATGGTATGCCCACCCTGAACTAATCTGTGAAGCTATTATCTTCTACTTCAAACCTCTCCTCAAGAATCCAACTCAGCCATGACAGCTATAAGAAATCTCCCAACATTACATAGTTAGGTGGAATGGCAGTTGGGGAAGTCCATATTTATTTCATCAATATAATTACATGTACAAAATGTTTCTATTTGATTGTATCACCTTCTCCCCGCCCGGCCAGATTGGAGGTTCTTTGTGGCAGGGACTGTGTGTTTATGGCATCCAGTGAAATGGGACCATGATCCTGACAGGGGTCTCTGGGCATAACTGCAGTATAAATAAGTAGTAAAATGTCCCTGGACATCAAAACTGTTGTTGAACACACAGTGTTCTTTTTCTAAGTCTGCAGTTTTTTATTTTAGTGAAAAGGTGGCACAGGAGATAAATCATGTTAATGCAACCTTATGGTTAAGATTTCTAATGCATTAAAGACAAAAGATTCAAATATATGGTTTGACAGCAACCATTAATAGGCAACCCTAGCTATTCACATTAAAGGTATAACAAGCCAACACCATATGCCACATAAAAAGACCACGGTACATTCCTTGGGGAACATAAGCCAATGTTTTGACTTTTGGGTGTTTAAAGTCCCAGCCATAATGCCGTATTGAATGTCACAAGCCAAAGTATAGGTTTGTATTAGGTATCCCAATGTGTCTGGGGCAGTAACTCAATTCAGTCCATGGCTATATTAGATACCTGTGCTCAGGGCTGGTTCCAGGCACCAGCGAAGGAAGCAGGTGCCTGAGGTGGCCAATAGAAAGGGGCAGCACTCTGTCTGTGACTGGGGCAACTCGTCCGCGTTTTCAGCGGTGGGTTCTTCACTCCCTCTTCGGAAGCAATTTGGCAGCAGGCCCCGCTTCTTTTTTTTTTTTTTTGTCTTTGCCGCTTGGGGCGACAAAAAAGCTGGAGCCGGCCCTGCCTGTGCTGCTCTATACTTTCACACTGTGTATTATTTATTTTTCCTGGACTGTTTATTCAACATAGTCATTTTCCTTGGGTGGGATTTTGTTTTTAAATCATCCACTTTCCTTCCCTGGAATTGCTGAGATCTCAAAGAGACTCTGATCCCTAAGCCCTCTCACATATAGGTTCCATGCTTTATCTCCTTCCGTAAGGAGGACTGTAGGAAAGTGATGGAGAAATACTAGGACATTGATAATTCAGAGGTTTTCAGTGCACAGTTTAAAGTAGCCCCACCCACTCCATCATATATTGTTCTACCAGACACCTGTATGGGTTGGAATCTTAGCCAGAATATTGTG